AATTATTTCGGGTCTAAATCGTGTGAATTTAGACTCGAAATAATTGTAGAATAACAAACCATCATTTGATTCGTAACTATGAGACCTGCAAAAGGCCCAAAACGTAAAGAAAAAATAGTTTTAACCAATATTCAACATGTGTTTAACACCATCTGTATACCACGAGATACCTAACAAATTATTCGAATGGCAGGTTATAGGTTATAGCAGCGGAATGTTGCCTATTTGGGTCATGTACTGCGACAATATAGATATCATCTATTGCACACTATAATGATGGGCAAAGTAACTGGGAAGCGGTAGGTTGTGAAGAAGGTAGATGTCATGGGTTCGTAACATCAGGGAGTGAACCGGCATCACGACTGTGGAAAAACTGTTCAGGCTAGTTCTGGCCAAAGAAAGATATAGAAAACCGACTGCCGACTTTCGATAATGGAGAGGCACTTGAAGAAGAAGAAGATAGGTTATACCGATATCTCCAATTTTGTTTTTTTATTTATTTTTTTATTCGGGGAGCATATAATATTTGTAAATAAATATGGCTGTTTACAAAAATAACAGAAAATGACCAAAAAATAAAGTTCGATATAACCACATTAAAGTCCTTTTAAATCTCTTGTCTATAAATTCATGGATCCATTTTTACATGAGCCCAAAGACAGAATTTCGAGTTGAAAACCGCACGTATAGAAAAATCATCATCATCCACCACTGTCCCATGATTTGGAATTGGCAAAGTATGCTTTCTTCTTCCAGTCATCTAAGTCGCCTGTAATCTCGTAGGCTCTCTTCATATACTCAAATCCTCATTCATATAATCCACTCACCTTTTAAGAGTCGAAACTAAGAGTAAGAGACCATAAAAACTTGATAAAGTAAATTATATAAGAATTGTTTCAGACAATATCTTTTAGAGTGCACTGTCGTGTTGTCCAATAACACGAGTCTCTTTTGGAAATTCATCAAACACAAAATGATTAAAGGTATTTATTACATTTATTAGTTATATCGGGTAAAGATTGTTTAATAAATTAACATTCTTTGACATAGTTCCTTATTAACCTAGCAAGACTATTTTTTATAGCTATGAAATCCCAAAGTCAAATACTAAGCGTGTATATGTTTGTCAATCAACTAGGATTCACAAGGCTACCCTAATATATATATATTATATACTCGAATTATTAGTACGTGAAATGATAAAAATTTAAACAGAAGGAGGTAAAAAGCATTTGCAACGATATCTTCGTAAATTATAATAAAATGCCCAGCCCTACAAAGTGACTGCTCAAGAATATAGCTGTTAATAAAATACATAACGTGGAATATCTCGGTTCCTTTGAAATCCGACCGTCTGCCGTATAACATCATTTGTGCCGATTTGAATCTCAAAGATTTCGAATTTAAGTTTCCGAACGCTCCAGGCTTCTTGATTTGGATCAACTCGTAAGAGAAAGCTAGAAGTCGGACTAAAGTTTTTGTTTAAAAAAGTTATGCTTTCATTCAGAAAGCTCACTAAATCCTTGCATGCAGTATTTTCGAAAGAAAAAACAGATAGCAGCTGGCCATAGGCATCTATCAAGGTTCTCTACTGAGCCCCAAATTTAGTAAGAGAAAGCTGCTAGTAATAGGAGTCTAACAAGGTTCCTCATTTAGCCCTAAATTTAGCTAGCGATACATTTCTTACGAAATGCAATTTCAAGAAATTAGTAGAAAAAAATCCCTATCAATTTCTATTGACAACATAATGATATTTTTAACTGACTTCATAAAAAGGAGGAGGTTCAATTCGACTGCATGTTTTTTTGTATGTATGTTACGCGATAACTTGATTTGTGATTTGATTTTGATGATTCTTTTTTGTTGGAAAATAGGTTCTCAGTAGTAATACCATTTAAATTTGAAAAAAATATTCCACCTCTAAGCGTGGCAAACTAGGGGATGAATCCGGTTTCGCGCACTTTTCGGTAACCGATTTCTATAAAATTTGGCAAACAGATGTAATTCCACGAACTTTTGAGGTCGGTTTTTTTAGTACTTTGCACTAAGATTATTTGGTATGTATGTTATTTATAGTTATATTATGCTATTACTCCAACAGTTCAATGATTTTCATTTGTTGGAATGGTACGTCAATACTGGCAGCATTCAAATTTTAAGAAAATATTCTACCTAAGTATAAGGGTGGCAACTTAGAGTATGAATTCGGTTTATTGAATTTCACCCACTTTTTGTTAACCGATTTTAATAAAACTTGGCACATAGATGTAATTCCAATGAAAATAAAACACAGCGAAGAACGGATAAGCAAACAGTTGACGTCAGTTTTTTTAATTGTAATTATTTATTTAAGCGATCGTTTGCTTCTAACTTATACCACAAACGCTATCCTTCTTTATGTGTAATATTCAATTTCGATACCCTTTGAAACATCATCTTTATGTATTAGCCAGTCAATCTGCTCTCGCTCGTGCAGTATCTAACATAATTCTTCCTTTTATATTGAAGTAAATGTTCCATCTTTTCAAAAGCCAATTGTGTTTGATTTTCATTAAAAAAATTATTCTGGTATATTAGGTATTTTATGAAATTAATGTAGTAAAAAGACAGCTTTGTATATTTACATAATTTATTATTACAATATAATTATAAATTTACAATTGTTGCATATCGTCAGTGATCGTGCATTTACGCGAAAGTAGTATTAAATTATGAGTTTCCATTTCGGTAACTTATTAATAGAAACAGTTGGGTTGGAAATGAAATTCCACTTATCCCAATCAGAAACCATGTGGTAGGGAAGAGTGGAATAAAAATCCACTTGTCCCCACCAGGAGGGACAGCTGGTAGAGATCAGTGCAACAGGCTAGTTTAGTAGCCAAATCAAACCCGCGTAAATGTCGTGGCAACCAAGTTAGCGTGGTTTACGGTATTTTTAATAACAACGCAAATTAATGCTTACTGCGCAAAGATAAAAGTCGTAGCCATTGAAATAACAAAGCAATAACGATCAATCACTCTCTCGTAAAATTTGATTTAGTGCGGATACGCACCTTTTGCTAATACTACGTATTCGGATCTGCATTATCGTCGACGACATGAAGATTTTTCGCGTTGTTAAAACATTATTACCTGGTATATTGAAGTGGAAGATTGCATTACAAATGCGCATACTATTGGATGCAATAACATAAAAAAAGAAACAACATCGAATGTACGGACAACGGCACATCAGACTACACATTTTTGTTCGAAAATCGCCTCCAGTGCCACGGAATAAGATACGTCAATGTGTAGCTCGATATGCTGACGTGTACATTGCTTAAACATGGCCTTGGGTTCTTTTCTGTAACACCAACAACATTTTCAATGTTTAGCTGCCCACTGCCCTCCTTATATTAACTAACATAATCGATATTTTAGTTTATATTAATGACTTACCTAGCCTTATGGGGGGTATAAAACATGGGATAGTATTGTATGCTGATGATACTTCCTTATTATTTAAAGTTAAAAGGCACCAATGTTCCTACGACGATGTCAACAATGATATATCTAAAGTAGTTGATTGGTTTGCTGTTAATAACCTTCTTAATGAGAAAAACCAAATTGTGTGAAATTTACATAACCCAATTTTAGAGAGACGGTTACAAACATTGTAGTGAGAAACGAAAAATTGAATCTTGTGGATACAGTTGTATTTTTAGGTATAACGTTAGATGCTAAATTGCAATGGGGTCCCCATATAAGTAAGTTATCAAAACGGCTCGGCTCTGCAGTGTACGCGATTAAAAAAATAAGGAAACTTTCAGACGTCGAAACCGCTAGATTGGTTTACTTTAGCTACTTTCACAGTCTAATGACATACGGCATTTTGCTTTGGGGTAATGCCGCCGATATCAATAGAATCTTTGTCCTGCAGAAACGTGCAGTTAGGGCAATTTACAATCTGGGCCCCAAAGTATCTTTGAGAGACAAGTTTAAGGAAATTAACATTCTTACACTAGCCTCACAGTACATTTATGAAAATATAATTTATGTTAAAAGGAATAGTAATTTCTTTATGAAAAATTGTGACAGACATAACGTTAATACGAGGAATAAAAATAAACTAGCTTTTCTTGATAGTCGTCTTCACAAAGTCAAAAAATCATTTAAGGGGCAATGTATACGCTTCTATAACAAGATTCCGGTTGATATACAAAATTTGCCTTTCACGAGGTTTAAAACTATAGTGAAACAAAAACTTTATACTAAAGGTTTTATTATACAACTTCTGCGTACTTGGATGACAAAAATCCGCGGTAGTAACCCGTTTAGCTCATGGAGGTAGTCTCGATCTCTGATGTTTAAAAAAAAAATATTGTAAATGTTATTTACAAAGAGCAACCTCTAGAGTTTCTTGCTCATTCTTCTCAGGGGAATCTGCCTCACGAATGAGCGGTAGAGTTTAACCATTGTGACGATTTCAAGTGTAATAATGTTTACCTATGAAATAAAGCTTTTTAATATATATATATATAATAAATTAACTGCCTCCGTGGCCGAACGGATACCATACCGGACTGCCACGCAGAGGTCCCCGGGTTCGATTCCCGGGCCGGGAGAAATATTTGTATGGCCTACATTTATTTCTCTCGTGAGTTTGGGTGTACTTTGTGGTTGTCTATGTGTGTGTCCATGGCACCCGCGACACAGGGTTTCCCTAGTGCGGGGCTATGTTGAGTGTGTGCGTTATTATTAAAGGTTATTTTGAATTTGAATTTTGAATTTGAATTTGATATTTTAAACGAAATTGGGTTATTAACATACCTAGAATGAGCAAAACGAGATCCACTAACCCTTACAAGTGGATTTTTATATCTTATTTGGTTTCACTTTTATTGACAAAATTAGCATAATTGACATTTTTAAAATAAAAAAGCTTTAGCTGTCAATATCTCGAAATTTACCAAAATGAAAGTGGGTTACTTATTACAAGGAGGGAAGCATCATGTAGAATAATACTAAGAAGAAATACGTCTTTGTGGTCACATACGTCATTTATTTTATTATACCGCCACGGCGACGATAAAAGTGACTTTAAAGAATTCTGTGGAGACAAACAGAATCTAAGAATCTTATGTAAGAAATCGCAAAAAATAAAAACAAATTCGGCTAGTTATGCAATTGTGGAAGTAAACACGTAGTTTGATACACTGCACGCGTTCTTCCCACGAATTAGGCGTAGATAACCAGCCTCACCCCAAGTGGCAGACCAAGAGTTTTTGATGATCCAAAACGGTTTATTGTTCTCTGTAACAATAATTTACAATATATTACAATCTCCGAATATTAAATAAAAGTTAAACCGTAGCTCTCGGCTTTATAAAGAGTGTAACTATTACAAGTGTGCCCAGGCGATTATTCCGTAAATATAATAAATATTCAAACTGATATGGATGTACTTTACTCAGTGAATAAAACCGATATCAATAAGTTTTTAAACATAAAACAAGAAATATCCAAAATTTAATGATAATCGCTCCCACGCATTTAATATGTAGAGAGACTTTAGCTGAACAAATAAAACACTACAACGTGTCTTGCGTACTGATTAATAAAAATATTTTGGTTGTGAATTATGGAACACACTTTGTTCTTTATGATGGTAGTAATATAATCCTGTTAGATTGCTAGTATTTTACACATAACCCTGTTTATATTATAGTCCATTCCTTCCGAATGCCGTTGAAAATTCGAAGTTAACCGTCATAATAATATGACTTTAATACCAAAATAGAAAATCCTGCTGACCAATCATACGGGTTGAGCATTGTGATTGGCAATTGTTACATTATTTAAAGCAATTGACTATACCCTACTAAAAATGTTTTGCTTTACCTGTTCCATAACCAACAAGAACAAGTGCGTGATTAACACCGTCTTTTGGGTCGCAGTCGTTCGGATCAACGATTTCTCCCTTGTACTCGCTTAGCATTCTACTTTCAAAGTTCAAAGCTGTAAAAGAAACGAGCATATTAGACTCACTCTGTAAGAAAATGTATCAATAATTCACATGTAAAGATTACTATGCCACGAAGGCGGTTTGGTGTGACTTTGAGAAGAAAAAAATACCTTTTTTTTTAAATTAGAGTTATTTTTCTACGTGATCTCCTTTTAACTCTATACACCTTGACCAGGGAATTCCAACTTCTTCAATCCATCAAAAAATGTTTTTGTATAGAGTTAATTTCTTGTCACTTCCTCACTCGATCCAAATCTTTATCCACCAAGCCATTTCTTCACGTTTAGGAAGAGGTAAAAGTCAGGTAGGCCAAATCTGGGTTATACGGGAGTGCGGCAATACGAGTAGTTCGTACCATAATTCGACAAGTTTTGATGTTGCGATTGCAGATAAAAAACGGAATATTCGAAATTCCATTCAAAAAATATACCGACCTCATTTAACTTTTTATTTTTTGTTTTCGCGCTGATTTAAAAAAAGGATCATCAGTTGTTTAGTAAGGGATTCTAAATTAAAAAATGCGTAATAAGTAATAATTAAAAAAATAATTTTAGTAGCAGTAGAGCTGTTGATGCATTCTTGTGAAAGTTCCTTGTGAAAGAGTTTTGCAAGGGAAAGTACGCAAAGTAAGCACGTAAAGGGAAGGACCTTGTATGTGAGCATTACTGCATTGTTTAGAAGGGTAAGGGTGCTGTTGAAATTACAGGCACATGGGACTTGTCAACTTATGTTTCAGGGTGACAGGCGTAGTGGCAGTGCCCCTCAGATATTTGCGATTTGAAGCTCTGAGTGGCTCTGCAACTGTTATGGGCAGGTGTGTAGTTTACTACTAGACACATGACTTGCTCATCTCGTTACTAAATATTATTAAAAAAAATTTCGGAAAAAGTTTTTATTTAACCCTAAAGTTACGTATTTATCAAATCGTATCGTATTTCAAAGAGTAATAGTTAAGCAAAAAGACGCTATTATCTGTAATTACAGATACCCACATCTCTACCCAGGGTGGCTGTAAAGTTACCTAACTGCGGTCATATTTTGTGAATGTTTAGTAGCAAGACCTCTCGCTAGCGTTGAAGAACGACATCGTAATGCAAACCTGCATGTCGAAGAAAACCGTTACCCATGTGAAGTGCAGTCGCATTATTTCAACTTAAAAATGTCAATCATGTTAACCTACCTATGGAAAGGGGGCCATAATTGTATAAAGCATCTTTGAGTGCTTCTTCATCAGCGACTTCTAGAATTTGACCTTCTGTAATATTAACTACAATCTTGCTTAGATCCGTTGAACATCGTCCTTGAAATCCTTTATATGGGTAATTATTTTCTTCTTCTAAGCCTCCTTCCTGTGCCAAATACCTGAAATTTGAATTTAAATGTAAATTGGACAGTAATGTTGTGCCTTTTACGAAGCTTTGATATTTTATTTCTTTTAAGATAGCACAAGTATTTGTTACGATACGGATAGCGGTACCCGTAGTAATTATAGAATTACTACATGTACGCGAAATTGGCTTGTAATATCTTTGTTCCCCGGTAATCAGTAAAGGTTAGTTTAATATCTACAGTTATTATTCAAGGCAATAAAAGAAACGTTTAAAAATGTATGTTATTAGAAAAACATAACAATATTTGTCACTTTTATTCACGTGACACCTTCCACCAACAAGTTTCTTTGAATTTTTGGCGACTCTAACTAATCATAGATTTTAAGAATTTTCATGTTCATTACTTCGGTATGACTTCTTATTTTCCCAACATTCCGGTTTACACAGTCTATGATCAACGACTGACTGGCCAGCGGCAGTTGATAGAACATTATCTGTCTATCCTCTAGCGCTGTGGACGACTTCCCTGATCTCTATTTTTGTGGCGTTACCGTTGTCACTAACTTTTATCCGCAAACCATATTCACTGTATCCTCAGATGAAACGCAAGTCGATGGTTCGAGATTTGGCGTTTTTGTTTAGATTATTGCTGCTGTAAGCAATTATCATCGGATTCCACGCGTTGAATAGTTTAAACCTGTTTTTACGATTAAATGTTTGGCATTTCGTGTTCTTGATGAGTTAGTAATTCGATTTTGACGAATAGCGAACGCGGTACAGTCGATGTAAGTAACCGACTATTTGGTTCTGAGTAGAGTGTGAAGAAAGGTGTTAAACAAACCTCTCAATGACCTAAGAGCAGTAAAGTTAATTTTGATATGACTTCCTTATTGTATCGTTAGTGAACGACGTTTTAAGATACTTTTCAAGCCAATTTGATCTTTAATTACATTACATAAATACAAGTTTCAACCAAAAAGACGAAATTCCTTTACACTGTTCTGTTGAATGCGTAAAAGTGGTCTCAGAACCGAAAGGTTAGTTAAGGGGGTCAGATATCTTAGGGCATCGGCTGTACGTAGTGAAATATCGGGAAAATAATTAAAAGTCACGCCGTGGCAAGAATCATAACTAGAAACACTTACTTAAATACGTTATAAGGGTTGCCTCCATTGCATCCGCCATCTATTTTATCACAATCGAGAACTTGTTGCTCCGAAAACGAGATTGTTTTATTATATTTCTTTGCATATTGTCCTTCGATATTACCTGCAAAATTCTAAGAATATTATTTGTTGCCCTGATCTAAAGAGAAATAATTTACAAACAGTGTCAATGCAGGAGGCTGATAGAAGAATTTGGCTCGTTATGACGCGGCTGAACATTTCATGGATCCGAATTTTACACACTTTAGACTAGGTATAATTTCAAACGTTTGACATCCTGCAGCGAAACTGGTAGACGACATCGTCAAAGTGTGAACTGTATATGGGTATGACTAGAGCATGGTCGTGGTTATAAGTCGCGTTGCTTTGTAATAACAATACAAATGGGCATTAAGGCAATAAAATTATTTTTAATAGGTGTTACCACACCTACCTACTATGCCAAGGTTTTGGCCAGGTTGCGCTGGCCGTGATCACGGGCTGACTATGCTTAAATTTTAATCAATTTTATCGCGTTTACCCCCGTTTATAATATTAAAGTAACACCCGTTATATCAATGATGAATTTTTAACATTTATTCTCGATATTCCTAGCCAAACTTTTTGTCTTGATACGGCAAAACATACATAATTCTGAAACACTAGAGCGTTGTCGCCACTCTAGAAGATGACTTGTAATGATGATACCTGACGTCTAACATCCTCAAATCATCATCATCATCATTCAGCCATACGACGCCCACTGCTGGGCATAGGCCTCCCCCAACGATCTCCACGACGATCGGTCCAGCGCTGCCCGCATCCATCGGCTTCCCGCGACCTCCACCAGATCATCGGTCCACCTGGTGGGGGGCCTACCCACTGAGCGTCGTCCGGTGCGCGGTCGCCATTGAAGAACCTTTCCGCCCCAACGGCCATCGGTTCTCCTAGCTATGTGCCCCGCCCACTGCCACTTCAATCAACAACATAATAATCTCACTCAAGTGTACTAAAAAAACCGATCTCAAAAGTTTATGGAATTACAACTATTTGCCAAGTTTTATTGAAATCGGTTAAAGGAAAGTGCGCGAAACCGGATTCATCCCTTATGTTGCCATTCTTAGAGGTGGAATATTTTCTTCAAATTTAAATGGGACCACTACTGAGGCACCCTCTTTCCAACAAAAAAGAATCATTAAAATCGGCTCACAAACATTAGTTATTGCGTAATATACATATAAAAAAACACAGTCGAATTGAGAACCTCCTCCTTTTTTTGAAATCGGGTAAGAAGCGTATTTTATTCTTTTAAAACGTATGGCAACTGACACTAGGACTCTCTAGCTGATATTTATAATACGAACTTTACTTCAACTAAGCATATATGATGAGCTAAGCAAGTTTTTCGTATCTACGGAGGGAACCTTGAGGGAAGTTTAAGCAAAATATTATTCGTAAATTAACAACTTTGATTTTAATTCGTAATTTCTTATCGAGTTCTTAGATTTTAGCGATTGTTATACATAGGAAATGAAACTATTTTTCCGGATTTAAATCGCGTATATTTGTTTTTTCAAACAAACCGACGTTTCGGGCCCTTTACAGGTCCCATGGCCACGGTTGACTGTGTGGTCGTAATTTCTTACTTAAACTTACGCAAAGTTCATTTAGTAAATCTCAGACTAGTGTATCTTGTCTATTTTTAGCGCAAAACAATGCGTACTAACACAAGTTGTCGTTATATATATAATATATAATGTACGCTACTAAAATATAAATACTCTGTTTTTATTTATTTATTTAATCTTTTTGCACAATACATGAATGCACAAATGTCGGACTTAATGCCATAAGGCATTCTCTACCAGTCAACCATTGGGCCAAACAAAACTACACATAAAACAGAAAAAAAAATATATAACATAGCCTAAATTTTGTGGTTAATATTTACAGCATAAAATAAACATAATGCAGCATAAATAATATACTTACATAATAAACAATACATATATATATATATATATATATATATATATATAACAAATATATAACAAATATACCCTATGTATACAGTAAACATAATATTAATTAATAATATATAAGTACCCACAGTAACATTATGCAGAGTCTTGATCTAGAAGATTACCAAGAAGATAATTGCGCAACATGCGCTTGAAAGGTAACTTAGTCTGAACTTGTTTTATATTTAGCTGGAGAAAGGTCCAAAGACGGATTGCATGAAGGGCAAAAGAATTAGATATAAAATCAGTACAGTGAGAAAGAATAGAGAGCTTGAAGCTACAGCAAGATCGAATTTGGCCGAGAGGTTTCAAAATAAAATGAGCATCTAAGGTAATCAGGGGCAGCCGGATCGAACAAAGTAGAGAAAAGGGTGGTTAACATTCTTAAGGATCTGCGTTCACGGATGGGAAGCCAATTTAATTGACGTCAAAAAGTAGAGATGTGGTCATATTTTCGCAGACCAAAGATGAACTTGATGATATTACTGTAACACATATCATATCATAATCGATTATAGGCAATAAGAGCCTGAACAAGGAGAGTTTTGGTCTTAATGAAAATAGAAAACAAGAGAGGTGAGAGAATTCCGCCCTGAGGTACCCCTGAAATCAGTTCACACCAGCGAGAGAAATAACGGTCAATACGAGTAGCTTGTTGGCGACCGCGGAGATACGAGGAAAACCATTCAGCAGCTGTCGATGAGATATTTAGGTGATCTAAGGCGGCAAGAAGAAGGTCATGATCTACGGCGTTGAAGGCATTGGAGAAATCAATCAAGAACAGCACAGTAACTAAGGTCCATGTCCATGCCCCGCCTTACAAACAACATTTAGCAATGCAGTAGAAGTACTGTGCCCTGGTCGAAAACCTGATTGAAAAGGGAATAGGAAATTGTGAGAGTATACATAAGCAGACAATTGTCCGCGAATGACAGCTTCTAAAACTTTAGAAAGAAAAGGAATAATTGACATGGGACGGTAATGCTTGAGTAAGCTGGGGTTGGTAACTTTAGGAAGAGGAATCACATGGGCATTTCGCCACAAAGATGGAAAAACCCCAGACACAATCGAGAAATTAACTACGTGCACTATGATAGGGAGAATACATTCTAAAATACTTATTACCATAACTCTACTTATGTCATCATGTCCAACAGCATTGGATTTGATTGTCAAAACAACTTTCCTGATCTCATCTTCAGTTACAGTTTTTGCTCTTTTTAAAATTAATATTATTAGTGGGTAATTTTCAGGCTTGTTTTCTGTACCTAATTTAGGTGGTAATTTTTAATATTTAAGTATTCGAGTATATTACCGCGAAGTATTAAGTAATATTTTAGATACAACACTCGAATATTAAAGACCACTTCCTGATAATATTCTAAAAAAATCATCTAATAAAAAATGACACCGTAATAATAAAACTAACATAAATAAAAACTAAGAAAACATACCTGAGAATTAATTAATAATATGATTTCCCATCGTATATTTAATTTTGTTTTTATCAATAATTCAAAATAAAAAATTCTAATTTTGTTTTTAAACGAATTATTTGAAATTATATTGTGATAATTTTGTTTGATTTAAATTTTTCATTTCACTGTTTTATTTGTTTCTTTTCAATTATTTCTTTTGTAACCATATTTTATGCTTGTTTCATTTTGTTCAGTTGCCGGGTGCATTTGGACTAAAGTTACCTATTATTATTATTATTATTATTACTACATTATAGTTGGGTGATAACTTACCAACGGCACTAAAAATGTAGCAAGATCCACAAGGCCCTTGATCCTTGATTGCAGTGACGAGACCCTTTTCACGCCAATCTAATGACTCCGGAGCATTACCCTGTGCCACGTAACGTTTTAAGGTGAATAACTTCCTTAAGAGCAGTCCGCCACGAAAGCCATTCATTTTCAGGCGCTCGGTATCAGACCAGTCAGCCATATGATTAAGCCCAAATTTGGTGTGGGGGTGCTGTTTGTTTAAATCACTGATTATCTTCCAATTGTTTTCAAAAAAGTTTTGACGAAGCTTATATTCTTGGTCGTCACAGTATTCTTTGCCGTAAGCCTTAAGATATAGCGAAAAAAGCAAATCGTTGGTTTGTACTGGATGTTGATTCTGCAGTGAAGCCTGACTGCAAGAGTTTTCTGCTAACGCAGAAGCAACTATGCTCAAAAGTAAAAGGGGTTTTAAAGCGAACATGATGAACGCGTTATTAGCCGTATCTAAGAACTGGATGTTTGTAGGACGTTAGGTGTCGTTTTATAGTTCTTGATTATCTACTTTAGTATATTTTTTATTTTAACTTTTACTTTAAGTAGATTTACTATCTTATCAACATGACATCAGCCGTTGACACGGTCATCAAGAACTCTGTGTTTAACAATAAATAATAAAACAAGGATAATGTTAACCACTAATTTCAGGATTCTTGCCACGGTATGACTTATTTTTATTTATGGAAAACTTCCGTAGCAACCTGCCTATTTTATCTGTCACAATTTGTACATAGGGCAGAAAAACTGGTAGTCTCTGTACGTCAATTTGCTTCTTCCTTTTGTGTATTGGTTTACATGTTCTTATTTCGTATCCATTTTGTCGCAAAACCTTCTTAACGTGCTCCTGTTCCTGTGGCAGGTAGTGTGCATCACAAAGATCATAAGCTCTATTGGTTAATGACCTGACGACCGAATGCAGATGTTTTGGTAGATGATGTGTAGTCGCATGTAAATATTTATCCGCGTGAGTTGCTTTTCTGTACACAGAATGACCGAGTGAACCGTTATCGGGCTTTGACCAACACTTCCAAAAATGCAAGCGCGCGATTTTTCTTATTTCACAAGTGAACTTCATTTTGTTATGGGTGTTATTAAGATGTGCAATTGTAGTGTACGATGTGTAATTTTGTATATGTTGCTCCTTTCTTTCCATTACGCAAAATACGTCATCAGCACACCTCTCCTATAATTTTATTGTTCATGGGGCTGACAGAATGGCAGCGTGTTCATAGTGTTCCACACAAATGTTGGCAACATTGGGAGCAACGGGACTGCCCATCGCTACTCCATCAATCTGAAGGTTAGTATTGACCATTGCACAAGAAGCAGCTCGTGTTTAAGCAATGTTGAAGTAATTTAGCAATCTCCATTGGGATGTTATTTTCTTGAAGTTTCACCTTGATAACATCGATGCACTCCTTTATTGGTACGTTTGTGAAAAGAGACTCAACGTCATAACTATCGTCTCATTCTCATTAGCTGTGGTATTGTTTAGGATCTCAATGTAATGTCTGGAGTCCTTCACAAAGGAGTTCGTCGTGCCCACTAGAGGGGTTAGTGTATGAGACACATATTTTGCCAATTCAAACGTAGGTGAGTCTATCTGACTCACTATTGGTCGTAATGGTACGTTAGTTTTGTGGACTTTTGGCAAAACATAAAACCTAAAAATAAAAATAAGTCATTCCGTGATAAGAAGCCTGAAATTAGTGATAATCATTTAGTGAATAACCACGAAACCCTTAAAATCTATACAAGGATTATGTGATGTGATGTTATAAAAATGAATTTTACAACAACACATCATGAAAAATGATGAAATTAATTCTGGAAGTAATATGAGCCAATTAATCAATAACTAAATAAGTGCATGGTAAATAATCAATGAGAATAAATGGATAACTACTGGGAAACCTGAAACATTGCTTCATTTATAGTAAATAAATAACATGATAAAAGCAGCTAAGTGTAGAATTCCAGTTCACATTTAAAATTACAAACTTAACAACTTGTCAATATTGAATCACGTGACTATATTACAACATAATCAATACTATTCATTTAACTTTTATCGACATATTTTTTATTTACATACAACGACATCATAAAAACTAACTGTTGATTTGCTGCAGTTGATAATACATTCTCCATCCATAGATAATAATAAAAGAGAATGTACACTTGATACGTAAAAGTAAAAATCGTCGTCAAACCTTATCAAACTACTAGTTAAAGAAGATTTTAGCACTGTACAAAAAATTGAAATGACTTAAACAAACATGTAATACCTACCTACTGTTGTAATTAATGAATTGGTAAAGACTGAGTATTCGGAGTCCCATCAGCACCGTTGGACTCTAAACCTGTAAGAAATGAAACGACATTTATTCTACATTTGATTACGGTCAGCCACATGCAAATAGTACAACAATAGTAAATTATCGCTCCACATACAAAATTATGTAACTAAAAAAAAACAATTCTGCTTAATAGGAATTTATTTATGGCACAGCTACAGAATACACAGTAAAGTAGCTTAAGATTAACATATATGACAATGGCATTGTATGCATTGCTTCTATTTCACAAATGGTTTTGTCTTTGTTGGAAATGTCAATTTTTGCTAAGCATCAAGCTAAACACATAGATCATTGACCCTTTCCTGTCGTTTTAATACTACTTTGTTTAGATTGAACTATTATTTAATGATTGTCTGTTTTTCTTGGAAAACTAAATGACATCATTCATTTATGCACTGATTCTATTACACTATATGGTTTTAAGTCATCGCAAGCTATACAGTGGCAGCAATTAGAAGATCATTTATAAGCAATACAAACAAAAAGAACCCAAATTCGAGCCCTGAGGTATGCTTGATATAGGTTAAAAAAGAATAGTCATGTGACGACACGACTATTCTTTTTTAGACTCCTTACATCCTCATCCCGCCTTTTTATTGCCTTTTCTCCGGTTCCTGGCCACTCGTTTTTCAATTTTGAATCATTTTTTAATTCCTTTGCCTTGCCATTCTGATTTTGTTTCGTTCCATCGTCACTCACTGCTCGATCGCCGAAGTGGGCACGTCTGCTCTTCTATTTTTGATCCATTTACCAGTTATCAAAAATCTCTTGTGCGATAAACATTTGAAAGATCACAAAATATTAATAAAACCGGACTAACTACCACTATTTCTTGTTACTTTTAAATTTTGAACTTTAAACTCGCTAAGTAAGATGTGTGAAAGCTGCGGAGGCTGCGGAGGCTACTACACTCTCCAGGCTACATTACAATCAACAGGACATTCTAAGCAGTGCCAGCAGCGCGCTTTCTGTCATAGCCATGGACTGCCATGCTTCTGTTTTTTTTTCATATAGCGCAGAAGAAAGACATGTATACCTAGATGATTAACTTCATGACAAAAAATCTCGTGATCAACTTTGTCATACGCTTTGGTGAAATCTTTGTACAACGAATCAATTTGAGAACGCTTATTGAAGGCCGTATTTAAGTAATGCACTTTATATTAAAAGGTTGGATTGAGTGGAGCAATCAGTCCTAGGTAGCATGGTTTTGTTAAATAATCATGCTGTCTAGGGCTGATATGATATCGCAAGTCAAAGTGAAAATTGAAGCAGTCATGTACCACATGTTTGGCGAAGGCGAAGCACCCATCTGGCGAAAATTCTTAAAAAAAATCTACAAACTTTAACTTTGGTCGGAACATAAATAAAATTTGAAATACTCTCACGCTCCTTCTTTGGGCAGCACACTTTAAGCAGCATATTTTAATTTGTCGAAGAACTAAAATAATTTCAATAATCACACAAAATTATGAGTACAAAGAAGAATAAAAATTGATGAGGTGCAAATTCCGAACGCGTCCGAAGGTAAACTTTTTCTTTTCATTAAAAAACTCTTTTGAACTATACAATTGTTTTTCTTTTCATGTATGTTGTATATTGAGTGTGTGCGTTATTATATATATCTCGCTATAATGAGGTGAAAAGTTGTGTGTTTCGCCCGGCAGCAAAGTTGTTTTGCGTTTCATGCCTTGAAGCCCTCGCTACGCTCAGGATTCTATTTTTGAATTTTAGCATCCTTCGCTTGTTCAGGTTTACATACAAGCTCTCGCGTCAGACAACCACTTTGCAGCCTTGATAACAAATAACTATTGTATTCGTCCTGTCACAGTCGCCAAATGTCCTTTCTTTGGCCCAAGAGTGGAATTTCATCAATGAAACCCGGTAATTTTTCAGTTTTGTATAATCACGTATCACGTATAGTACAGAGAGATATTTGCTAGAGATGGTCGAACGAACAAAGTGAAAAGTTTGTAAAATACTTTACATTATTTAAGCAAAAAAAATTGAATGAAAAAGAATCGATTACTTTGATAAATGATATTGCCCTTATGTTTACGTCAGGCGTGAACACACGTGAGACGCAAACTATACATACAAGGTTTGAGTCATTTAGGTGTTTATAACTTTAAATAGTGATCTTTGGGTTACGTGGCCCAACCTTTCTTACATTTATTTTTGTTTTTGTTGCCTCTCTCTTTGTCTTGTATGATATGTATGATATTTCGTCTAATCTTGTTTTGATCTCTTTTCTTCTCTCTCTTCTAAGCTCTTTTTCCTTCCGTTAAACAAATTTGTTTTTTTTAAACGCAAATTTAAAAGCGAATTCTATACTCATAACTAGGTATTCTTATTATCCCATGACTTTACCTAAGTTTAAAATAAAATTTGTGATGTTCATCAACTGTACTTACGTGTAAACATGATGAACACCGTACCCTGTTACCAACTAAAAAATCTTAGTTCTCATATTAAATGCTTGTTTGGTAAATAATAACCCAATCTTGATATTGGCTTCAGAAACGCTTTTTGCTTCAATGTTTGAAGACAGTCAAAGAAAGAAACCAAATTTAGCTCTTTGGATTACGCTATTAGTTCTTAACGCTTCCGAATATTAGCTATTTATTAACCTTGAACGGAAAAGGTTACGTAACTGCTCGAACGTATTAAGAGTGCAGTGACGTGTGCATACCCTTTGACGTTCTATTAGATAATTTAGTAGCTGCAGGGAAGTACTGCCACCTTATCTATTTCTGCCGCCAAGCAGTAATGTCAGCATTACTGTAGTATAAAAGTAGCAGGACTTACTCGCGTAGTATTTTAGTCGGAAGCGGTCCGACTAGTTTCAACCATCGATGGTCTTCAATAGAGGTTGAGTGCAACGTTCGCGACCGCGTCACGTCTAGCACTGCGCGCTGCGGCTCTCTGCGCGCGCGCCGATGATGCAGTCCACAGTGGGGAACTCGGGCGGCTGACACGTTGCGTCAGCGCGTCCTGGAACTCTACTTCACTGGTGCTGTCCGTAGAATTGTTTACAGAACAATCCAGCACACAGAGCTCACCACGTCGTTACTACTAACATCTGCAGCTGCATACCGAGCGCTATGAAGACACGGCTTCCAGGTCGGTGGTAAGCTCCAGCCTCCGTCTCTATTAAAATTTGCTCGCCTACTTATTTCAATAGCCTCTCGAATTTTGCGAGGCACAAAATACTTGTAACGCGCTAAAACCTTAGCTTTGTCAAAAGGAATGTAGTGTCCACTACCGGAGCTCAGAAAGTGGTCTGCCACCGCAGATCCATTGACTTCTTGGTTCTTCATGGATCGGATATGCTCAGCTAGCCTAGCAGCTACGTTCCGTCTCGTTTCGCCGACGTACCAGGTAAAAAACATTACTGTGTTCCGGTTTTGAAGGGTGCTGGTGAAATTACAGACACATGGGACTTGTCAACTTATGTCTCAGGGTGAAGGGCGCAGTGGCAGTACGCTTCACATCTTTGCGACTGAAAGCTCCGAGTGGTACTGCAACTGTTATGGACAGGCGTGTAGCTTACTACGACTTACTACTACTTACGACTTGTTCGTCCCGTAACTTGATATTATATTAAAAAAGTCACTAAAATATCATGTTTGGCAAGAATTACGAAGCTACTGTTGGCGGAAGAGCATTCCGATCGACCAAATTATTGTTTTATAGGGCCTAAAAGTAAGTTGACCCCATGCTAGTAATTAAGGGTTACACTTTGGAAAGGTATGTATCTTTATGTATTAGCCAATCAATCTACTTACAATGATGATGTATATTATAACTCTTCTTGTAATATTGCAGAATAACTTCTGTGTTCACGTTTGAAAAGAAGATTTTTATAATAAAACCCATCAAGTTGTTTGTGACGTAAATTAATACATGATATTTTGTATATTCCACAAACCCCACCGAGACATCTTCACTGATTGTTAGATTAGTTATGGCTAGACTCTAGAGGTTTAAGCAGCAAAAAAAATAAAGACTATTTTATATAGGCACAGGTACAAATACTCGTAATTACTCTCTTGACACAAAATGTTCTTTTTGCATAAATTCGAGGGAAGGAATGTGGAAATTTGCGACAATATAGAAACCAAAATTATTTTATTGCTACGCTCTAGAGATTTCATAATCAACCCATCAACCAATCATTTATACGTCTCACTGCTGGGCAGGGGTCTCTTCTATGGCGAGGGTTTTAGACTATGTTCCACCACGCTGGCCCATTGCGGGTTGGGGACTTTACACGTTTTCCGAGGATAGTGAACCTCCTTCCACGTACAAGTTTCATCACGATGCTTTCCTTCCCGGAAAAGCTCTTGGTAAATTTAAATTTTAATTTCACACATAAATTTCGAAAAACTCAGAGGTGCGGGCCCGGATCCGAATCCACGACGCTCTACTTGAGAGGCGGTAGGTCAAATCATTACGCTACCACGGCTTTTCGGGGCTTTTCATGGCTCTAGGTATTCAATCAGAAGTAAAAAAACAATTTTATTTTTAAGTCTTTGAAATTTATTTATAAAATACTCTGTACTACACGCAGGTTCATATATTACTCTTTTAATAGAAAATGTTCTAACTGCTTACAATCGAGGGAAGGAATGTGCAACGACATGTGCAACAAAACAGAAACCAGAATTTAAATGTATCTTTTTGTACATGATCATGAATTCCATTATATAACTTCAGCAAGAGATGTGTTTTTGCAGTCGGTTATAATGAACAAAGTGACGACAACGAGATACGAAATTTAATCGATTGAAAAAATACTATTTAATACCACATTTTGAGAACGGATTCGAATGAAACATTACAAGAATCCTTGAGTTATGCGATTGTGGCGGTAGTAACAATATCCGATACATGACACGCATTCTTCCCACGAATTAAACGAAGATAACCAGCTTCTCCCCAATTGCTAGACCAAGAGTTTTTGATGATCCAAAATGGTGTATTGTTCTCTGTAACAATAAATTACAAACATAAAATAATTACACGTGGATCAGTGATGTCATAAAATGAGTAACAAAAGAATTCCTCGTGAAAGAGTTCGTCTAGGGAAGTACTGCCGTCTTACCTATTTCTGCCGCCAAGCAGTAATGTGAGCATTACTGTTTCGGTTTTGAAGGGTAAGGGTGCTGGTGAAGTTACAGGCACATGGGACTTATCAACTTATGTTTCAGAGTGACAGGCGCAGTGGCAGTCAGATCGTTACCATTTAAAGCTACGAGTGGCACTGCAACTGGACTTATCGCAAAACACCAGACGCACGACTTGCTCGACTCGTCTCTCGGTATCATAAAAATTAAAAAAATATAAAAGAATTTTTGATAACATTGTTACTTTCCGTCTTTTAGCTGAGCTGTACACCATTACGGTGTACCATGATATTGGTCTAAACATATTACTTGCTACTAATAAATAGGCTGTGCAAAGATATTTAAGTATTTTGAGGAAAAATATTCAAATCATCTCCTATTTTACCTTGAGGGGTAATTGATCAAAGACGCTGAAACATTGATTATTTCTTACAACAAGCATACATATGAATTTTCAGATCCTTTACGTGAGAAATAATGTCCTATTTCACCCCCGTTTCAGATTTATTTTTGGGACAAAACTAGCCTTTGAGGACAAAGGTCATAGGTCTTATCTATCTATACACCAAAATTCATTCAGCGGTTCCTTTCGCATTTATAATGTTAGGGAATTGCTTAGGCTGTCATAATATTAGTATGGATTATTTTGAATCTCTATTTCCTTTAAACACTAAGTATAAAAGCGATTATTGTGTAATTAATTGCTGACTTTTACACGTAAATTATATAAAGTAAAAAATCAATTTATTGTTTAAAGTATGGCTTATATTTTATTATTATTCCTTTGTATATACTTGTTCCTATTAATTCAATTAAGAAAAGTGAAGTGTTAACATTATGGTTTTAATATGCTTACTTACCTATTCTTGTAGGAAGCGCTCTGTATTTTTATTTTATTTTTATTTATTTTAGTTTTTCAGGTTACATAAGACCCATAAATACATACCTTATAGACTAACATATATAATAATAGTAAAACACTATTTATTTATTTACACGTATGGACCGCGACGTGTGACGCAATGTCGGTGTCCGGTGGCTGTCCTCAAAAACGCCGGAACATGACATCACACCCTTCGGCCAAAAGTCCTCCTTCATGAAAGTCGACAGACTGAAGTTGAGTTGGTACTCTCACCACAAATGAACTACAATTCACATTGTGACGGGACTCCAACTGCTTAACCCTCAGGGCAGCATTGGCTTTCAACCGTATGTACTTCATAATATCCGCAGACTTTGTGGAGTACCTAATGAAGTTGTGACACCTATAGCTGTGTGGCACAGCACCGACAAGATCGAACTTTTAGCTCCTTTCGGCAACGGAGATAGTGGAGTACATCAGGTTAAGAGCCAAATACACCCTGAGGGTCGAGAGGTTGGAGTCCCGCCACAACGTAAATTTTAATTCGTTTGTCGTGAGAGTGCCGACCGAACATCCGTCGGCCTTCATGAAGAAAGAGTTTTGGCCGGTTACCTGACACCAGATTGCGCCACACGTCGCCAACAAATGCAATACGTGTAGATTAGTTATTTAGGTTATATTATTGTCATATTATATTGTATATATGTTAGTCCTTAAGGTATATATTATATGGTTCATGGGGCCTGAAAAAATGTCTAAATAAAAAATAAAAAGCAGCGTCGTCGGTACCGCTGGACGCTAGATTGGGGCCAGTCGGGGCGGTGCCACTACTACTGTGGTTTACTACTACAGTTTAGTCAAATCGTTAGAATTTACCTCTTCCATAACCAACGAGGAGAACTGCGTGGTCAGCAACGACTCGTGGGTTGCAACCCGGATCGGCGATTCCTCCCCTGTATTTTTCAAGCGCCGGAACTTTGAAAGTCATACCTTTAAAAATAAACGAATGGGTTATTAATATATTATATGTAACGATGTATAACCGACTTCAAAAAAAGGAGGTGGTTCTCAATTCGACAATGTTTTTGTTATTATTATTATTATTACGCGATTATTCTAAAATTAAATTGTGAACAGATTTCAATGATTTTTTTTGTTCTGTAGTGTTTTTTGTAGTGTCTTTGAAACGTGAAGAAAATATTTCACGTCTAATGATGGCAAATTAAGAGATGAATATGTTTTATATATTGGATTTCACCGACTTTCCGTTAACCGATGTCAATACGATTGCCAAGTTTGCTAATAGATGTACATAATTTTTTTTTTTTTTATTGTGACTCGGCAAAATGACTGCACCGCGCCTGATGGAAAGTGCGAATACAGTCCAGAGATGAGAGTAACGGATGGAAAACACAAATATCTTCACTCCGTCACTATCATTTTGCCGGTCTGGCCAAATGCTTCTTCACACTACGTTTGAAGGACCCGATGTTATAGAGGGGAGGGAATACATGCGCCGGGAGTTGGTTCCACAATTTGATGGTTTGGCATAAGAACGAATTGCCAAACTTTTTAGTGCGGGACGGTATTGAACTGACCGTCCAACTGTGGCAACGCAGTTAATTAATTATTAATTCGACAAAGTTTTGAAATAGTTTTTTTTTAATAAAAAGTAATCATTATTAAGGGAGTTACTTTGCCAGACAATCCAGAAAAACCGGTAAGCGGTTACCTGAAGTAACATGCCAACATAGTAAATGCATTAGATTGATTTTATTGCAGATACAATTTTAAAAAGACCATAGGGCAGACCTTAAAAGCTACGTTTTTACAGTAATGCTTACACTTGTTGCAATTTAAAAAATGTGAAGTGTTAAAAAATGTTAATTGTATTAATTTACCAATCGAAAGAGGTCCGTAATTATACAAAGCGTCCTTGAGCGCTTCTTCATTAGCGATTCTTAGCATTTGTCCTCCTTTAACTTTAACTACAATTTTCCTTGAATCGGTGGAACATCGCCCTTCACGTCCTACATATGGGTAAGCACTTTCTTCTACCGAGCCTCCTTGTTTTGCCAAAGCTCTTCAGATCAATATCAAAATTCATGTTAATGAAACTTGAACTCCATTTCGTTAAAAAAAATTCAATAATTATTTCTGAATAAAGCAGCTGCAACTTTAAATGTACAGTGGTTGTCCTACGACACCTGACCCCTTAGTTGACCTTTTGGTTCTAAAAGTCTTCTTGTGCAGTTGTGTTTAAAATTTGTATTCTATGTTTACGTAAGTACATTGTTAAAGATCAAATTGGCCTAAGAAATTTATTGAAACCTCTTTCACTAATGATGCAATACGGAAGTCATATTAAAATTCATTTTACGCCTCACAGGTGAAAGGTTACGATTGTTTAACACTTTCTTTACACTTATCTACTCGGAACCAAATAGTCGCTTAAGGGGTCAGGTATCATCATAGATATAGGGGTATCATAAGAACATTCCTACTTCCAAATAAACAAAGAAAAATAATCAACCAAAATCACTTACTGGTACACACGAATTGGCAATCCACCAGTTCTACATTTCATACTTGCTGGATCACAGTCAAGACCTTGTTGTTCGGATAACGAGTATAATTTCTTATGTTTCTTAGCGTGTTGACCCTCGATGTTACCTAGAAAGTGTATATTATTATTATAATAATCAGGATCTGAGAACATAGAATTAATTATGATGTAGTGTCTAAATAGTTTCTTTAGTTTTAGAGTAGGTACGTGCTCAGAAATGTGTTAGCACTAGACGACATTGGCGTAGATTTGAATGGACTGCATAAGATAGTAGGGCATGCTGACGATCTGGCCCTTCTTAGAAAAGCAAGGAATGATGTAATTCAGTTTGTTAACCCTTTAATGCGAAGCAAAAAAAGTGGGCCTAATTATCAATTACGAGAAAACGGAATATCTCCACATGAAGTGTTTTAGACGTTCGCCAAACCCGTGATGACCTTTATGTTGCAGATGCCATCTACAAAGATGTAGTCAAGATCAAGTACCTAGGCTGCACTGTAACAGATACCAACTCTAAGGAAGAGAATATAAATATCCGCATTGAGAGTGCAATGTAGAGCAGTTCTACATAAATTGTTGGTGTCTAAACTCCTTAGCCGTAAAGCCAAAATATGGAGACCGTCATAAGGCTCATTCTTACGTATGGTTGTGAGGCTTGGACACTCACACTTAAAGAAAAGAACAAACTCGTGGTGACGAGAGAGAGTTTCTCAGAAAAATATTAGGGTCAGTCCAACGAGAGAATGGTAGCTGGAGAGTCCGCACTAACGCCGAAATAGAAGAACTCGAACTCGAGCCAAACATCATCGGCGAAACCAAAGCTCACAGACTTCGCTGACTCCGCCATTTAGAAAGGGTGAGAGAGGATTGGAATGTAAACAGAACCTATCTGGGTCGACTTATTGGACGAAGACTCAACGAAGACTGGAGGTCATCTCAGGTATCGCTAAAGCGAGATCGAAAAAGTGGCATTATCTCGTTTCGGAGGTCAAGACACAGTTTGGCTGAGCCATCGGAGTAGTTATTACTACTCCGATGACTCAGCGACCACTATTGTAGTCTAAACACTTGGCTATTTATAATTCTGTAAAATAGGGCAAATCATGATAACCAAACTATAAAAGCATTAAGTATTTTGAACGGTGATATCATGTAGAGAATCACGAATTTTGAAGTTGCAAAAAGTACAGTCATTTCAAAATACGTAAATAAAAAATAACTTACCAATAGCACTAAAAACGTAGCAAGACATGCAAGTCCCTTGATCCTTGACTTTAGTGACGAGACCTTGTTGACGCCAATCAAGTGATTCTGGAGCATTACCCTGTGGCACGTAAGGCTGCGAGTTTAACCAACTCGTCTCGTTTGCGAGTAGATCACCACGAAAACCGTACAAATTCTCGCGCTCTTCGTCAGTCCAGTCAGATATGTGATTAAGACCAAATTTTGTATTCGGGTGTTGTTCGCTTAAATCGCTAATTATCTTCAAAGAGTTTTCGAAAAGTTTTTGACGTTTCTGGTATTCTTGGTCGTCGCAGTATTCTTTGCCATAAGCCTTAAGATATAGGGAAAAAAGCAAATCATTGGTATTCAATGAATGTTGGTTCTGCAGTGAATCCTGACTGCAAGAGTTTTCAGCTAACGCAATGGCAACTATATACAAAAGTAAAAGGGATTTTAAAGCGAACATGGTAAACGCTTTAGCTGTACCGAAGAACTTAATGCCGATGGGTAATTAGGTGAATATTTATTTATAGGCCGTAGTTGCCTATTTTAAGTATTTTAATATCTTATTTTTATTTTTTTACCTTAAATGCCTATTTTATAGGTTTGTTATCTAATTAATGACAATACGCGGCGTACTTGTACGAGCGACATTTGTAACATTATTGAATTTAATAACTTTTTACGTGTATACGTAACGTTACGTCTATAAATCAATCATATCTTCTATGATTTATTGTTATAGGTAGTGAATAAATTTGTGTAGCATGTTTATTTTAAATTATTTATTTTTTAATTTTTTTATTAACGGAAATAACTTTTATATAACTTTTATTCTTTTAATTGTTGTAAGATCAATCTTACAAAAAATACGTTTCTGTGAAATCATTCAAAAACTGATGGAGCAGTTGATGCTCGTTATGAGAAATGGAAACATTTTTATACAAATTACGAAAAATTGGAGAACAAAAGTTAATAATAGGTAAGTAACTATGCTTTGTGTTAAGGATTCAATAAAAATTTGCCTTGTGCTTGATCAAAAAATTCAATAGATGTTGGGATATTTTTTGGATTGGAATTTAGTACAAATATTTTTTAAATAAAATTTAATAAACTTCATTTTCGTATCTTTAATTGATTTACCACTAAACAAGACTTTTTTATGATAAGAAAATCTTTGGTGCATAAATTATTAATTTTTCGGATATAAATTTCGAAACTGTAACTATGTAGGATATGGTACCGGCTTTTTATCACTGCAGGGTCCATTTCTGTCCGCCATATTTGAATCAGTGTGCACGAGTGGCGCGATATTTTTTTATTACCAAGTGACGGGATGAACAAGTCGTGCGACTCATGGTAAGCGACATGTCTGTCCATAACAGTTGCAGTGCCACCCAGGGCTTTAAATCTTAAGGATCTGAGGGGCACTGCCCCTGCACTCGTCGCCCAGAGACATAAGTTGACAAGTCTCTTGTGCCTGTAATTTCACCAGCACCCCTACTCTTCAAAACCGGAATGCCCACATAATGCTCACATTACTAAGACGAACTCTTTCAAAAGGAGTTCTACTACTACTAAAACGGGCTGGCGCATTTACAACAGGTCGTCTGTCAAACTCAACAGACTACTTCGCCTTGCCGAATGCGACGCACTCGGTCGACTGCAAACTACATTCCTCATCGTCGTTAGATGCTCCATAACGTCAAGTCAGTGACAGTTACCGTTTAACAGTTCTTCGTTATTCTTTTGTAAACTCCTAAATTCTTTTTATACAAACACTACAACAATCTAGCAGATGGCGTTGTACAAGTGATCGTCATTCCACATGCAAAGAATCCCAGCGTCTCATTTATACCTCACTGTTACAAATTTATTTCTTCAAAATATTCTTTTAGTTCTGAAAAAAACGCTTGATGTTGCAAATATTTGTAACATGCAAGGTGTCGTATCTGTAGTAAAAAAAAATCTCATAATTCTAAGATCGGAAAACTGCAGCACAGAAGCAAAAAAGCTACATTTTTTAAATACAAACATAGTTTATTTTATTCTGGAATATGTGAAAGAAGGATTAGGTTTAAATATACACCATTAGAATTAATGAATTTGACTTATATGTCTGATATATAACTCCTTAGAAACGTAGCAGCGCAGGTTGTATAGCGTGCGTACCGTCGCGCTTCCGCGTGTATAGACGCATACATTCGCATAATCTCACGTTGCACTTGTGTTGCGCAACACCGGTCGTTCCAACGCGCCTTTCATTATTATGTGAATGTGTGCGTCAGTACACGGCGCGGCGGTCGCGCATACATACAAGTAGCGCTTCTACTTTGTACGGAGTTACCATACGTCTACTTTTACTGTACTTAAACGAACGTTTTATCAAGATGGCTTTACCAAACACATGGAAAGTTAAATCTAAATGGATCGACTTATGTAAGCATATAATAAATTTTATAAAAAAAAGAAGATCCCACAATCATTACTTTATAACCATCAAACTAAATAGTGGGGTCCGAAATAAGTCGGAATTCGTCGTAACTAAAAGAAGCTTACAAAATAATGAGTTATTAGCTGGAAAAGAGAAAAAAGTGTTGTTTACTGTGTCTTCATATAACGAATATAACCGCTCACGCGATACAAGCAGCCGTAGACGCATACCACACCTAGAGGTGCCGGTGACGATTTTATACCGATTTGTCGGATATCGAAGTTATAACAAGTAAAAGAACTAATATAAATAAAGTTTTAAATGCCTAAGTCTGTCATTTAAAAAAAAATAAACAACTTCAAAAATACGTCACGACAATCGTGTGTGTTATTGTTTGGGCTGGTGATTTCGGTGTTTATTTATTGAAAACATACCGTAAGTAGCGTTAGTAGTAGCTGAACAAATGTTTATAAACTATACTTTAAGGAGTAATTTCATGGTAAACGTTAGAACCACTCAAACGGAATTTTATCATATTTATCCAAGTACACCAAAAATTTCATTAGTGCTTTTTAAGTGCAGGATTTGCGGTGTATTACTGCATTTTATTTGAGATGTTTTTGTTGGTAGTACGGAGGTATTTATTTAGCAACGCAGAATAATAATTTTTTATTTATAAAAACTTGTATTTAAACTGAATGCTTTTCTAATTTGCGAAACCAAATAGCCGCCATTTTGCGGTAGGAGGAGCGCATCGCGTGAGCGATTATAGGCATATACAAAACAAATGATTTCTCAATTGCCAAAGTGTTCATTCTTGGAGGTAGTAGGTATTATTATGTTGCCTCCAATATAGTATCGACATAAAATATCTACGTAATTCCTACGTGTAATGTTTTAGGCTACAAAAGATAACTAACTGATTTTGTACCATTTAGTATAAACACTTATTTTACTATAGCACAACATTCAGTGATTTAGTGCCGTATATATGCCGTATATATATATATATATATATATATACATATATACAGTGACGTGATATGATAATGATACTGGAAGTTCACTGTTAAAACATATTTTAATGTCGTTGGATTATTTATTTGAATCCTTGCCTACAATATGTTTTCGACATTCCAAGTAAATAATTTCTCTCACCAAAGGTTAATATTTTAGATTTACAATAATAGGAATGCATCGTTTATTATTGCCAGCAATCCTGTAATTACTGCATGGTTTTAATATCTACAGGCACGTATATTTGTTTGAAAGCAAAAAAAAATCAGATTTTCGTAATGAGATTTATTGAATATAAATTTACAATCTATATCATTCTTATCACAACGTAATCGACATTTTAGCGAAATTAAGTTATGAATTCGTTGCTGTAATTATTAGTAACAAAGATCGAAACAGTTAGAAAAATTCATTCGATCCGGCTGTATTCGAACCAGAATCCTCAGGCAATCCATGTCAGATAATAAATAACGTACACACTCAACATAGCCCCGCACTAGGGAAACCCTGTGTCGCGGGTGCCATGGACACACACACACATAGACAACCACAAATTACACCCAAACTCACGAGAGAAATAAATATAGGCCATACAAATATTTCTCCCGGCCCGGGAATCGAACCTGGGACCTCTGCGTGGCAGTCCGGCATGGTAACCGTTCGGCCACGGAGGCAGTTAAATGTTCTTCCAATTGAGCCACGGAACGAACCTTGCGAATTTTTCTAAGTGCTTCTTGCAGTTCTTTGTTTTTTGGCTTTTAACGACTTTTTTGCCGTAGCGACTTTCATTGCTTGTTAATCCTAATTCTGTGGCCTAATCCAAAATAGTTACTTTTTGATTTAATAATATTAGTACATTTGTTCAGAAAATGCTGAATTGTACTGTGGGGCACCGAGACTTGTCATTGCTTAAAATAATCACTTGACGACGTTGAGATGGTCAATTTAGCGCGGCAGTCATGCCTCAGATTTTTTGAATCATCTTCCGAATGAATTAGATGCTTTTGAGTTAGGCCACTATTCTGGAAAACTGACTACAATCTCCTATAAATGTTTTTTAAATATCTTTTCAGCGTTATTGTTAAACGAAATCAGCGTAATAAACATTTTTGAAAGACAAAATGTTTAGATGCCATTATCGAAAGTTACCAAAATACAAATAATTTGTGTGTATATAAAATACACTTAAATTTTCTGACTTCCTTTGCAAAAAAACGTAGTTCTTTCTCATTGAAGACAACTGTCTCTGCTTCAGGAATATATTTCCTCTTAATTGATGATGTTGGTAAAAACTGAAGCAGAAAGGCAATAAGTTTATATTACAATTCAAATCTCAATCAAATAAAAAAAACCAATTTGAATAGACAAGCATGCTAAGAGGCTTATAGGTGACTCGAAATTAGTAGAGGCGAAGCAGCAGAGCCTTGAACACCGCCGTAGAGTTGCCAGCTTATCGGTATTCTACAGGATATATCGCGGAGAGTGTCCGATGGAATTACATAATTTGATTTCGCCTCCCCTTTCTCTTATAGGGGGATTAGACGTGGGCTGGGGTTCCACCCCTATGTTGTGGATATTCCCCGGATTCGCACGAAGCGTTTCGCTTCCACATTTGACGCTATAACTTGGACCTTTTCAAGGCGAGAGTGAATAGGCATTATTTAGATGTGCATGCTACATCCTCGACCTCATCGTTAATTTCTATCAGGTGAGATGAAGGTCAAATGCGCACTTATTTTTTATATAAAAAAAAATCAATTCGTACTGTTATAAAGATCGTTATATCTTGTCACATTTGAATATACGTTTAATATTATAGAAATTCTATTTAACTGTGCTTAAATCTAGTATTTTTCCTCCGCAAAATTGCTTTAAGCCAATTTAAAGTTAATACAAAATTTGGTTTTGATTATCGAAAATATTCTAGTTGTGAGCAAAAGTGTCACTTAACCCTTAACCCATTAACTTGCAAATAAATGGACACGGGTCTAATACAAAAACCACGAAAAAAATGTCCCAAGTCAACCTATTTAAACGTAGTGATA